CCCCTTGATATTTCCAGTGTCCCGGCTGGCACCCTACATAGTTATCGCAGCATTATTGATAGTCTCCCCTACGCTTTACTTACGTCACCGCCACTGTTCTGTAACTACCGATTTGCACTTCTTACCTTCACCAGCTCCTTCACTCAGTGCCCCAAATGCCCTCCCCTCTGGCAATCGCCTGTTCTCTCTCTGTGTCTGTGAGTCTGTTTCAGTTTGTTTATTCATTTATTTTGTTCATCGTCGTAATGTTTCGAGAGTCATCCCCATTGCACGTATCAGTAATCTTTCCCTTTTGTTGCTGAATAGTCCTCCATCGCATCAATCTGCCAGTTTATTTCTCTTGTTGATGGACTTCTGGGCTCTTTCCAGTTCGGGGTTCCTTTGATTGAGTGTGTTTGTGAATATATGCTTTTGTTTATCTTGGGTAAACACTCAGGAGTGGAACTGGATACTGAGGAGTTGGGTCATAGGTTTATGTTTAACTTTTTGAGAGACTGCCAGACCTTTTCTCATAATGGTTGTACAATTTCATACTCCCTCCAGGTGTTCCACGTCCTTGACAAGGTTTCCTTTCAGCTTTAGACATTCTGGTGGACGTGTAGAGAAAATATAATTTTTAAATGATTATTCTATAAGAGGAAAACAGTCAAATGACCCTGACCCTGAAATCATACTCACACGCACACAACCCCCCCCCACACACACACATACAGAATCTGTAGTGCTCTTTAGAGCCAAGCATAGTCAGGTATGTATAAACAAAGCATGTAGCACAAGGACAGCAACATTCGTGGGAGCCTATCGTATTCTAAGCAATTAAAGGTTTAAAGCTATGAGTGTTCTTTCCAAGAACAAGCTGTGAGCTTCCAAGGACTTGCTTTGAGCTCTGGCAGGGACAACACAGGCCAAGGGTGGCCGCGTTCACTTCGAGGAAACTTCGTGCTCTGCCTGTGGGATCCCCAGGACACACAGTATCAGAATTCCCAGTCACTACCATATGTGGACATATTCTACACTTGAAGCTTTTTTTCACAGAAGGAAAAACAACAAAAGCACTCCCCTCCAGAGAGACTGGCTGGCGTGGGGACACTAAATTCTGTGGGGGTTTTTTTTGCTTTGCTTTAGAATGAATGTAAAAAATCCTATCAATAGTAGAGATTCATACCTTCCCCAAAAGTTGAAAGAAAATTATATTTCAAACAGATGCCCTGCACTGACCCAGGGGATATTGTCCTCACACCCCAGTTTAACAAGCCTTGGCCTGGACTTCCCTTCTGGGTCTCACTGTAGAGAACGGTGTGACCAAGAGGGATGGTTTTAGAGCTAGAGGAAGCCTGGCTTGAAATTGGGCCCTGCTGCATACTAGCTGTGCTGCTCAGACAAGTCCCTTAACCTCTCAAACCTCAGTTTCCCTATCTGTCTAAGGAAGAGGATCCTTCCTCCCTCGTGAGAGTGTTGAAATGACTAGGTTGCCAATGTAAAGCTGCTGGCACATGGAAGTCATCTCAGAGATGGCTGCTGTTGTCTCAAGGAGAGCTAGCTGGTCCCACTGTCTTCTAGCCCCACAGTGCTCAGGCCCACAAGCCTCTCCTATGCTGCCCACCAGAGAATGTCAACTACAAAACTATTCATTCCCTATCTGTTGCTTCAGTGAGCTTGACTAAGAAGTATGAGAAAATAATTTTAGTGGAATTGTTAATGGCAAATGGCACCAGGTGTTAGACCTTGGTCCTTGAATTTTGGCTAAGAGAGAATTCAGAGCCAAGGCTCAAATACAAGCAAAAGTTTATTTAGAAGCACAGAGGTAGAAGTAAGCTGTGGAAGAAGTGAGCGAGCTGAGCTGCATGAGCTCAGGAAAAGAGTTACAGAGGCAAAAGAAGGGTCCTTGGAACTTGGGAGAAAAAAAGCAAAGGTATGCACCTTGAGAGAAAGAAGGCAGAAAGAAAGGCACAGGCATGCTCCAGAAAGAGAGAGAGAGAGAGAGAGAGAGCGCGCACATGTGCACTGGTTCCTTAGTCTCAAGGAGTTTTATCTCTTTCCTAAAGGTGGGGATTTTAGGGGAGGTCTCAGGGGAGGATCTCGAAAGAATATTCATCTGTTTTCCAGGTGTGTCCTTTCAGGGTCGTGGTCCCTATTGATTGTTCAGTGCTAAGGGAAGGGGTCATTAATCATTACATCTGGTCTTGAGGCAGCCATGGCATCGCTTTTCTGGTTTCAAAGCTTTTCTGGGCCTGGAGCTGAAACACAACTGAGGCCTAAGTGTTATCTCTAGTTTGACCAAAACTCTGTGGTCAACAGACCTGAGGCTTTGTTTCTGAGATTATTTGATGTGGGTCAGAACCTCATTGTCCTGAATACTTAATGCTTAAGGGATGTAGCCATGCAAGGGAATCATATGAGGCTAATCTCTGACCCCCTCGTTCCTCCTCTAAGAGGGTCTACCACATGTCTGGCGACATGCCAGGGAAGGAAAAGTCCGGGGAGGGTCCAAACCACATGTCCATCTGGACAGAACACAAAGCCCACGTTGACCTTCCAGGAGCTCCACAGTTCAGTAATATGAAAGTCACAGGGGTCTAAACCACATGACCAGCAATATGCTAGAGGAGGAAAGATCACCCTGGGGGTGAGGTCCCACCCTACAATACTTGTGTCCCCAGTTTTGCTGGTTGCTAGGACCTGGGGCTTTCCACCCTGGTGACCTGTCCCTGGCCTGTTGTTCCTGCTCTGTTCATGTCTCTCTAACTGCCTGCTATATCAGAATCATTCATACCAACTTATAAATGACTGGTGGGTTTAGACCTCCAAGAAAAATTTCAATTCTAAAAGAATGTTTTCATCCAAGTGAATCTTCAGCTGTAAAAGGGGGTATTTGGAAAAGATGTGTAGATAACCTGAGTTGGAAAGCTTCAGTAAAAACCTAGCCCTGCTGGGGTGTGACAGTGGGGGGGGGAGGTCCTCAGGNATTTCAATTCTAAAAGAATGTTTTCATCCAAGTGAATCTTCAGCTGTAAAAGGGGGTATTTGGAAAAGATGTGTAGATAACCTGAGTTGGAAAGCTTCAGTAAAAACCTAGCCCTGCTGGGGTGTGACAGTGGGGGGGGGGGAGGTCCTCAGGTGCTGTTCTTGCTGAGGGGATCATGGAGTGAGTCATGAAATGGGGTCCTGGGCAGCAGATGCTGAGATAGCCAGGCAGACTCTGCTGGTGAAGCCAGTGAAGGTCATTTGGTTGGTCAGGCGAGTAGCTCCAGTCACTGTGCTGTTTACAGAAGAGAGCCCATCAGAGGCAGATGAGCCAATTCAGGGGTGAAGGGGCTGGAGTGGATGTTGTGTGTTCAGCTCAAAAAGTGCCAAATGCCTCATCCTAAGTGGAGGAAAACCAGAGCCTCCTCAGCAGATGGTCCTGGTACCGTACCTTTCCTCTTCCCTCCTCCCTGTTCCCTCTACACTTGGCCCTACCCCACCCTGGGAGTGGGGGTGCAGGGTTCATTTTCATTGCAAAGGCAGGGTTGGGCTGTGCCTACTGGACCTTGGGCTTCCTCTGGTTCCATCTGTACAAAACACAAAGCCCACATTGACCTTCCAGGAGCTCCACAGTTCAGTCAGTTGGCCTTTGGGGGCCAGTGAACTACGGGAGAAGGGTTTTTGTGTGTAATCTGGGCAGCCAGGGGATTTTGTTCCTAAGGGAGAGATGTATTGTGATTCAGAGAGAAAAGCTAAGTATTTAATGGTCACTTGCTTTTGAACCACAGCTGATAGAAAAACAATTTGCAAGGCAGAAGTTGTATTCATTATGTATAGATCAAAAAGTCACACTGCACTTAGTAGCTTTGTAGCAAATGGTCATTATCTATAAAGGAAAAACAGAGTGCTTGTTCACCAAAGAAATAAAAAGCTCCCATAATTATGGAATAAATGAGTCACAGCCCTTAGTCACACTAAGACAAGATTTCACACAGGCTGGCCATGCAATTGTTTCAGTCATTACATGGAATGGACTGTGCAGAATAACTCATAGAATACCCCTGTCTTAACCCTTCAGTTTTACATGGCTTTTCTGTGGTTCAGTCTAGCTGGAACATTTTACCTGTGTCTCATACACATGGGGTTTCTGGCTGTCACAGTCGACGTTGCTAAACCACCTTAACCGTCCTTCAGAGACAGTCCTGCACACTCACCTGTCTCTTTTTCTGAGTTAACTTATCCTGTTCATTGAGTGGCCACGGAACCTTGCTGATCTGAGCTACTAGAAGTAGATGGATTCGGCAGGAAACCAGCATGATTATAAGTGTGATAGAGCTAGATGCCCCTCAGTAAGAGTCTCAGTCAGCTGTAAACACAAGAAATGCAGATCCCCAAAGAAAGAGAATTTATTTCCAGTGTTAATTGCTTCATCCGTCATATGGCAGATACTTATTGAGCATTAGCACGAAATCAGCAGCACACAAAAATTGATCATGAGAAAGAGCTAGGTGCTAAACTGTGTCTAAAATTCAGATCTCATTGCGAGGAAACATTTTGTAAACTGACCCTGTCTGTCACCAAGCATCTGAAGAGCTTTTTAGGAAAGCTTTTAGAAATCCTAGGCTTACATTGGTATTATGTTTATATTACAGATAAATTTTATTTTATATATATACATATATATATATAAACAGGTTACATATTAGCCTTATAAAAATCTTAAATTTTTGTTAGAGCTTTTGGTCCTTCTGCATTTCTTCAGACTGTCAAAATGAGAGTTTAGCTGCCCTGCTTAGGAAGTGGACCCTTGGAGCGTCTCCCGTCTTGGGCGCAGTCATTCTGAATGCGTGACATAACAGAGCATTTATAATAGGATTACTTGGTGCACAGCTTTCATCTGTTCACATTATCTGTGCAACCTCTCGCTCTCTTGAAGTCTTCAGAGCTTTATGATGAAATTGTTTGACTGGACATGTAGTTCATACTACATTTTAAATCTCTCTCTCTTGTTTTACCAAACTTTTGAACAACTTTAGATCCACAAGATTCATCGTGATTCTGGAGACAATTCTCAGACAGGTGAGAATGCTTCAATTTCACTCTTTTACACCTAGGCAGCATTTGGGGGCCAAGTCTATAACTCAGTCTGCAGAAGTCTAGAGTGACAGTCACCACCCCAGAACTGGGATTGCTAAAGCCTGAGTGTAGATATCAGAAGTCTAGAAGCCAGAATAAAAGCAGAATCCTGTAAAAAAACAAGTTGGACTATTCATTCAGGGCAACCTTTTCTACCTAATGCCACCCCTTCCTGGTTTTCTTTTGCTGGCTAGAGAGCATGTTGCGCAGACCATGGCGGGAGAGTGGCCCAGAAGCCCAGGGGCGACGACTGTTGTTACACCACTGTCCATCTCCCTTTCTCTGCAGCAGCCAGTGGCTGTACAGTTAGGAAGCATGATGGGCCCTGGCCTGAGTTGGGAGCCCTGAGTCACCAGCGCAGCTTCCCACTCCCTCGCCTCATACCCTGGGCAAGACTCGGACTGTCTGACCTTGGTTTCCTCAGCCATAAAATTACGACGTCTACATTTGAAATGTCTGGAATTCTCTGATTAGAGGGAAAAATCAGTCTACTACCAAAGATTTAAAATTCTTGTTCATGCACACGCAAAACCCATTCTCTCCCCTGTTAGTGGCTTCTAGCCGCTAATGCATAGTCAGACCCGGGCTATTGTTGAGTCCCTCTCCTTGATTCGAGGACGGGCCGTATTTTAGCCTAGTCAGAAAGACTTCGTTTGACCTTTCCGGTCTTTGGCTTCGTTCTTTGTAAAGTGAATTAACAACATCCATCCTGTGGTTAAGAGGATTCAAGGGGAAAATGTACATTATATCTGGAAGTGCCTGGTATTTACCTGTTTAGCATCCTCTCCTCTTCCCCACCCTCCTCCCCTCCCC